ATCATAATTATATTTTAGATTTTTTATATTTAAAATGAGATGTTTATCCTGTATTGGATTGTGTTTATCTGCAGTTAGTTACACGAATTCAGTTATGGGATGAAATCGGATAGGGATGAAATCGTTTAGGGATGAAATCGTTTAGGGATGAGCGGGTTTAAGAGTTTAAGAGTTTTTAAGAGTTTTTAAGAGTTTTAGCCAAATGCATTATAATATAGTATAGATATAGATTTAATTTAAGTTTAATAACGAAATAATATATTTTTGGGTTAATAATATAACATTTTATAAAGATAATAATTAAGTATTATGTTGGAACTCAATGATTATCCTAATTATATTTTAGATTTTTTATATTTAAAATGAGATGTTTATCCTGTATTTGATTATGTTTATCCGCAGTTAGTTACACGAATTCAGATATGAAACTTTAATAAGTTGTACTTACGCACAATCTACTTCCAATTTTGAGTTATAAGTAGTATGCATTAATAAACAATACTTTACGCATAAAAAGTGGTTTTTAAGAGTTTTTGTTAAATGCTTTATAATATAGTATAGATAATTATATTTTTATTTTGTCAAACATGTGTGTTCTGGTCAACTTACGTATATCTCGACCAATATCAAGAGCCTCGAATAACAGTTAAGAAAATCTTCGGATTTTGTGGATGTTGGGGTCGGTAAAAAATGTGAACCTATAAAAAATTTCAAGTCATGATACAATTTGACTATAAGAAACAAATATATTGATATTTTTTTTTTAGAAAATCATCTTTGGTATGTCGGTTAGTTCATTGTTTTTCATATATGAGGTTATATGTTTGAGTCTTTTATTGCAAAAAAATTCAAAAACATGATAAATTTGAAATTAAAAGTTCAAAACTAAAAAAATGACACTAATAGGATTCAAACTAGGGTCTAAGATGGAAGAAACGTCTTGCAAACCAATTTTAGCATGGGAAAGTATGTGTCCTAATTGTAGCTTCAAAACGTATATACAGTGGTACACAACAAATTGATATGACAACATTTTTTACGACCCTATAATTTTTTACACTACGACAGAGTAACAAAGTGATGCCCTAACCACAATATCCAATAGAATGGGTTCACCTTGGTCAGTAATCAATTCTTGTCCAAATATCCATTAATTTATTATTTATGACTTAAATAAGAAAAACCAGTTAATGATTATCATTATCTCGAGGATTTTATAGAAAATTCGTCAAAAAATCTGAAACGTTGTTATAGCATTACTTGAACGATGTGTTTGTTACATAGATAAGAGAATTGTACAGTCAAGTGATTAGTTTTAGAAAAACGACAACTAGAGCGGTTAAAGTAAACTAAATGTATAATGTATTTCTTTACATTTGGTGATGTTTGAACCATTGACCCCCCCACGAGACCAATGACTCACGTACTGCTAAACCAAAGGCCATTTGGTTTCTTCTATTTGTTTTATAGCATTATATGGTCATTTTCATTATAGTATTATCTTTTCATATAATTCATTATAAAATTATTGTACTCTTAAAAATCTACACATTATAACAATAGTTAATTGATTATCCATCATCGCTTCGCTCCTTTGTAATGTAAAAAAATCAGGGTCGTAAAAGTGTCACCGTATTATTTTGTTGCATGTAACCATATATTACTTGAAACTACATTAATAATATAAATTTATATAAGTAGATTTGGTTTGCACGTCTGTTCCCACCTTCCAAGCTCTCAGTTCTAATCATATTTGTATTATTTTCTTAAACTTTAGCTTTTAATCTTAGATTTATTAAGTTTCTGAAATTTTTTTGGAATAAAAGACTCGAATACCTGACCTCACATACGAAACTTAAGGAACTAAACAAACTAATGATATTTTTTAAGCAAAATATCCATAACTTTGTTTCTTATAGTCAAATGATGTCACACGTGAAAAATTCTTAAATCCTCTGGTCTTCTCATTTACTTACAAGGTAAAATTCTCAGTTCTTGCAATGCTTCCTATAAGCTAGTTTAAACTCATTAAAGGGTCTTTTACCAAACGTTAAGCCCTTAGTGGCAAAGGTTACGACCCGCATTTAGATTATCGAGTAACATTCTCTGCCCTAAAAATTGATTGTTGGTAAATATATTTTAACTGATAATCCCTCACTTACCCTGATAAGATTTTCGGACTTTTTTATGCCTCTTACACCGGTAAGATCGTTCAGACTTGTCATGCACAACTCGTAAAAGTAAATGACACCCAATAACGCTTATCGAATAAACGTTTGGTAAACGGGTTTTGAATCATTTACAACCTACGATTTTGAGTTTGAATTAATTTGAATAAGAAGTGTTAAGAGTAAACTACGTTTTTAGTCCCTGTGTTTATTGAAAATTTCTATTTTCATTCTTAATGGTTTTGAAATTACGATTTTCATCCTTATGGTTTAAAATCCATTACTGTTTATGTCCTTATGATTCAAAACTTACTGTTATTTTTGTAAAAGGGACGAAAAATAGAAATTAATTGAAAACCACAGGGACGAAAACTGAAATTTCCAACAAACCACGAGGACCAAAAACGTAATATACTCTAAGTATTAATGTAAAATTGGGCTTCATAGATAAGAGGCTTTTATTCCATAAATCATCTCAGGCCCAATCCACGGTCCAACGATGTTGGCGCACATTAGCACGTTTCTTTTACGGTGCGCGAACCAGGTGCACATTAGCATCAACAATAACATTCCACCAACCATAAGATTTCATCGATCTGTCTTTGTCTGCTTCTTCACCAGCTGCTGAGTGCATCTCTCTTGAACCTTTCGAAAATTCCAAATCGGATTATGGAATTCACCATTATAATCTGTTCGAGTGCATGTGGCGAAATACAGAAAGAAACAGAAAGAGAAAACGATCGATCTGTGTGTTTTCGTCTTCGAAGTCGAGCAAAAATATGGAAGATTTGGACCAATTTGATGTGATTGTGATCGGAGCCGGTGTGATGGGGAGTTCGACGGCATATCAAGCGGCGAAAACCGGTAAAAGAACTCTTCTCATCGAGCAATTTGATTTCCTACACTACCGTGGATCGTCTCACGGCGAATCTCGAACCATCCGAGCAACTTATCCTGAATCATACTACTGTCGGATGGCCATGGAATCGGAGAAATTGTGGATGGATGCAGAATCAGAAATCGGTTATAAGGTTTACTTCAAATCACAGCAATTGGATTTGGGACCGGCGAATAACAGTTCTCTCATGGCGCTTATCAGCAATTGCGAAGAGCACTCGATTAATCACCAAATTCTCGATCGTCACCAAACAGAAAAACATTTTTCCGGCAGGATTGAGTTGCCAGACGATTGGATTGCTGTTGTGACGGATCTCGGAGGTGTCCTGAAACCTACTAAATCGGTTGCCATGTTTCAAACACTCGCAATCAAACATGGAGCAGTGCTTAAAGACAGAACGGAGATCGTAGAAATAGTTAGCGATGAAGATAGAGGTGGCGTTTTGGTGAGTAGCCGGTCCGGAGAAGTGTATTCCGGTAAGAAATGTGTGGTCACCGCCGGAGCTTGGGTGAGTAAACTGGTCCAAAAGGTTAGCAATGGCGGCATCATTTTACCTATACAGCCATTGGAAACAACCGTATTTCACTGGAAGATCAAAAAGGGTCATGAGCTTGATTACACCATTGGAGCAGGATTTCCATCGTTTGCAAGCTACGGTGAGCCATACATCTATGGAACACCAGCTTTAGAGTTTCCAGATCTGATCAAAGTTGCTGTTCATGGTGGCCGAGAATGCGAACCAGATAAACGGACATGGGGAGTAGATGCAGAAGAGACAATGATTGGACATCTGAAAGAATGGATCAAAGGACGGTTTGGCGATCGAGTCAATTGGGAAGATGGACCAGTTATGATTCAATCATGTTTGTATTCCATGACACCAGATGAGGATTACATTATTGATTTCTTGGGTGGAGGGTTTGATGAGGATGTGGTGGTCGCCGGTGGGTTTTCCGGCCATGGGTTCAAGATGGCGCCCTTAGTTGGGAAGATACTGGTTGATCTGGCCGTCGGCGGGAAGGTGGCTGCCGAGAAATATGAGGCAGAAATCAAGCATTTGAAGCTGGGAAGATTTGAAGGCAATCCCAAAGGAAATAAGAAAGGCTTTGAAGACCAAGTTCGCCTTAAGTAGGTAATTTTAACATGTTCCTGCAGAAAAATTAGTGTCTTATTATGGATGATTGTGGAGATGTGAACGGTTGTGAATAATCTTTCATGAGTTTAGTTTATATTATTATTATTATTATTATTATTTTATATTAACCTGTATATCCAAGTCGCTATACGAGCTGACTAATCTCAGGGTGATCATCTGCTTTGCAGATAGCCCGGAGTCATCTCATTTGAATCTCCGTGGCCACAAGGGGAATTTATTCCTTCTTGGATTTGAACCTGAGACCTTCTGGTACTTTTGATCTTTAGAACCAAACTCAAACCAATCAGACACCACCCTTATGGTTAATTTATATAATTATTGAGGTTTGACATGATTCACTTGGACATTTATGATACAATGATCTCTCACAAGTGTGTTTGGATGGCGGATTAGGATAGTAGACTAGGTATGACTTAGTTTAAGGTGGATCAAAGGCTCATAAAATTGTTCGGTATGTTCTTAGCTGAATTCCTCTATTTTGAGGGATTTTTTAAAGTTTTTTTGGTTAATTTCAATGGACTTTTTGGTTTTTTAGTTGATATTTCTTGTATTTCCTGATATCCAAGAGCACCCATCAAAGTTTAGTAGGTTCAATTTTTAGACCACAAAAAAAAAATTCTACTCGGAGAATTGTTTGAGTGGATGCACGAGACCCACTTGAACCTTAATAGGTCTCCCCTGAAGTATGAGAAAATGTAGTTAGCGTGGTTGGGTAGAGGGGGGGGGGGGGGGGGGGGGGGGGGGAAGACTAGCAGTTTAGGCTAGAGATATGTTTTTGACCTTTCGTCACTTGCTTTTATTTTATTCGTGTAGTCGTTTAGATCAAATCGGTATACATCTCAACTCATACCCGCTTTTGAGTGGAATTTACAGGGTAGGTTTGGTTTAGTTCATAGCTTCAAATTGTTTATTACACTCTTGCACAAGCCAAGGAACGATGCACATAAACAGAAACAAAAACAATCCCTCTATTCTTAGGGGTAGAAATCAAGTCTACATACATCTCCTTCTCTAAACCCTACCTTCGAGTGGAGTTTATAGAGTCGATTTGGTTTAGTTCATGTCTTCTACTTATTTGTTCACAAACCAAAGGCCTACACAATAACTACTTTACTCTTTTTGGTTATATCGGTGATATAATATATATTATATATATGTCATCCATAAACATATCATGTGCATTAACTAGAGTTTAGAAATATAGTTTCAAAATTAAAACATCACATAAACAAGTCTCACAAAACAAAATAGGAAAAGTGTTCAAAAACGAGCTAATTGCAAGCAATAGGTTCGACATCCGAATCAACATCATCTGATACGTTCACTTCTTCGTTTAGGGTAGCTTCCAATCTTCCCCGTCATCTCCAACATGATCATCATCATCATCCTTATAGCGCTCCCTTTTACTTCTTGTAGTTGGAACCACCCAATCATCATTTTCTTTGACATCTCTCAAGAAAATAGGATTTGAAGACTTGTTATCCTTAAGAGATTTGTAGCGAGAAGAGAAGAAGCATGAAACCTAATATATGTGTTGGTTGAAGAGGCCCAAAAAACTAAACCTAACATGTAATATAAAAAAAAGCCCAAACATTTGCCTTACAAAAAGTCGGTATACCGAACCGATTTTTCCATCAAAGTATCGATGAAATATCGGCGATATTATCGGAACCGATATTTTGACGGATATTTCACCACATATTTTTCCAGAGACCAATATCCGATATATCGCTGATATAACGGCAATATATCACGATTTTAACAACATTGATCGACATACATCTCTTGTCGACATCTCACCCCAGACCCTACTCTTGAATGAAGTGTATGGGTCAATTGGGTTTTATCTAGGATGGTCTGGGGCTTCTTACAGGTGGAATATTGAAATGAATGGCAAATTTAAAAAATGAACACTTAATAAGATTCCATGAACATTAAGCACCTGAAATGAAAAGGCAAATCTATATCAATAATGTGAAAAAAAGAACCCAACAATTATATTTCAATATTTAAACCTTCCAATACATCCAGCCAAACCCAGGTTTTAATTTAGCCCACCATCCCCAATAATTGACAACTAAGGACTAAAAATTAACATCCAACATTTGGCTTAAAACATTGAAAGACAACATCTCATGACCTTCAAAACAAGAACAAAAGCAGAGCAAAAACCCAACGATTGCAGACATTTTCGCACATCCTTCGTAACCTCGTTCCCCTTGATCAAACATGAAATGTATGTCTTCGTCAAGTGTTCGATGCAACAGGTTCTTGCTAGAGATTGTACAACGGGTTTTTTATACGTCTAAAAATCCCGATGTATTCAAGTGAAAATTTGGTCTCTTATAAGTTAAAGAAATGTTCCAATGGGATACTATACGATTGTTCTGATATGGGTGTGTCACCTTGGCCTCCAAAAGTTGGGACCTGCAACACCAAAAAGATAAGTTTAAAGACTTTGCAATTTGCAAATCAAGAAACTGGGTAGGAATTCCCTTCGTCCCAAAATGAGTGTCAACTTTCAAAAATGTCTACTTTCCATTTTTCCCCTTAATTATGGAATGAAGAAACTCTTCGGTCTCAAACTGTTATTAAGGGTAAAACTGTCATCTAGTTAAATCAAAAAGTTCAACGATCCCACGTTTATAAAGCTTATAAATGCATTTTTTTCATAGTTACCCCTTAATTTTGGGATGGAGAAATTTATTACTCCACCAGTCCATCTATTATAAAGGGTAGAACTGTCATTTACTTGATCAAAAAGTGTAACGATTATTACACATTTCTAAAACGGTGTCTTCTTCATGGTTACTCCCTCCATCCCAAGTGTTTCACATTTCAATTCTACCCTCAATTATGAGATGGAAAAATTTATCACTCTTATCTATTACTATTACCAAGGGAAAAATCATCATTTAGTTGATTAAAAAGTGTAATTACACGTTTCCAGAAAATATGTTTTTAATTGTTACTCCCTCTGTACCTAAATAATAACTGTTTCACATTTCTATTTTACTTTGTCCCAAAATAAGTGTCCACTTTCAAAAGTAGTGCCAACTTCCCAATTTTACCCTTTATTATGAGACGGAAAAATTCATTACTCCGTCTATTATAAAGGGTAAAATTGTCCTTTAGTTGATTAAAATGTATAGCAACTACATGTTTCTAATATTGTGTTCCTAATCGCTCCCTCCGTACCAAAATAAGCGTTTCATATTTCCCAAAATAAGTGTCCAATTCCTAAAGTGCCACCTTTCAAATTTTATCCTTTACTATAAAGATGGAGAAATTCATTATTCCATCCATTATAGAGGATTAAATCGTCATTTTGTTAATAAAAAAGTGTAACAATTACACATTCCAATAACCGTGTCTTTTTCATTGTTAACATTTATTTCGGGACGGAGGGGGTATCTTACATTGTTAAGTGTGCTTAAACATTAAAATTGAAGGCGAAGCGCACACCTCTAGTTGCCATGGGAACAGGTGCTTCCGGGTAAGGTCTATGCGGTGTCATTTCTCTATGATTTGTAGGTCGAACAGGATAATGCCAGGTGTTGGCGGACATTGGCGGCTCACAAGGTGGACCACCGTATACATTAGGAGGATACCGTGCCCTCGGGCCATCGGGATGGCATGGACCTGTTACATATATGAAATTGATCATCAAACCTGAACCACAAGACATGTATAAAACAAATAGGTCACATTTGGTACGCGAAACAAGACGGGACGGGATGGTACAAAAACATGTTGTCCCACGTTTGGCATGTACCTGAATGGAACATAAATGCATTTTTTTCCTGTCCCACCAAAATAATTGGAACAAAAATCAGGAAGATGTGACAAAACCCTAACACCTTGACATTTAAACATTGATAGGACTTAACGAAACAAAAATGCATTTTTTTGGTCGCACAAAAATAGGTGGAACAAAAAATCGGAAAGATGGGACGAGATCAGTAAATTACTAAACTACACATGTTAAATTAAAACCTTCCAACATTCTTTCATCCACCTGTCTCACTCTCGCCCATCCAGTCCAATATGGAGCAACATTTAGACTTGGATATAACTGAGTGGAACAAAAATGCATTTTTTTTGGTCCCCCAAAATAAGGGAAACAGATAACATAAAGATTGGACAAGCTTGGTAAATTACTAAACTATCCATGTTAAATTAGAACCCTACAACCTTCCAAGATTATTGCACCCTCATACCTCATGTCGCATCAAAATAGGTGAAACAAATACCAGGGAGATGGGACAAGATTGTTAAATGAAAACCCTAAAACCTTCCATAATTCTTTCACCCCCTACCTCATGTCGCACCAAAATAGGTGAAACAAATAACAGAGCTACGGGACAAGATTGGTAAATTACTAAACCACCCATGTTAAACTAAACCCCCATAACCTTCCACAATTCTTTCATCCACCAAACTCACTCCTGCCCACGTACCAAATATTAAACTATAAAAGGTCAAGAGCTTTTACCAGAAAAAGGAGGTGGTGGAAACCTCCAGCTTTCATCATGTGGGGCTACATGCATTCTGTCATGATCACTGTGAAAATTCCCGGTGTCGGTACTGTTGACGAAATGGAACCTGCCGGGATACGAAGGCGGTGGGATTTCCCGATCGGATTGAAAGTACGAGAACTGAGACGATGGAGTAGGATGCGGTGGCCTCAGATGGACATTATTGGCGGCTTGAAGAGGTGGCCGAGGAACTGGTAAACTACCGTAAGAGCAAGAATTAGATGACTCCGGTAGATTGGCATCAGAAAAGTTACCCACGGTCTCTGGTAAAGGAGGTGGTGCAGGAAGGGTGGCTGGAGGTGGTGCAGGAAGGGTGGCTGGAGGGGGCGGAGGAAGGGAGGCTGGAGGGGGCGGAGGAAGGGAGGCTGGAGGGGGAGGAGGAAGGACAGGTGGAGGAGGTGGAGGAAGAGAGGCGGGAGGAGGTGGAGGAAGAGAGGCGGGAGGAGGTGGAGGAAGGGCAGATGGAGGTGGTGGAGGTGGCGGGGAATTAGGCAGAGGTGGAGATGATGGCGGCAAATCTTTGGGCAATGGAGGGGCAAACAATGGCGGATGTATTGCAACTTTTCCTAGACCGTTATTAGTAGAGTCGGTTATTTCAGCTTCACGAGAGGGAGCCACGTCCTCCATTTCAAGCTCGCCATCAACATCCTCCAAGACATGGGTATGCTTATCGGCGGCAGGTGTCGGCACCCCATCACGTTCCTCGGAAATTTCAAGATTATGCTCGGGAGTTACAGCCTCGAAACCCTCCACATCAGAATCGCTCCCTTCTTTTCCTTCCTTCAGCATTGTTGGCATGCAGAAACCGGATAGTTGTATACTCGAATTGCTGATCCCAAAAAACAAAAACCATTAAAAAGCAAAACACGATAAATCTCCTTTATCCCAAAGTAAATCAACAATAAAATAACAGTTTTAGAAATGTGTAATTATTACACTTCTTTAATATACTAAATGACGATTTTACCCTTACTAATAAAGAAAGCAATCACTTTCTCCTATCTCATAATTAAGGGTATATTGGAAAGTAGGCACTTTCAAAAAAGACAGTTTTAGAAATGTGTAATTATTACACCTATTAATCTACTAAATGACAATTTTACCCTTAATGAGTTTCTGCTATCTCATAATTAAAGGTAGAAGGGTAGAATTGGTCTTTAATCTACTAAATGACAATTCTACCCTTAATGATGAAGCGAGTAACGAATTTCCCCCATCTCATAATTAAAGGTAGAATTGGGAAGTAGGCACGCACTTATTTTTCAATATACTAAATGACAATTTCTCCCTTAATGATGAAGGGAGTAATGAATTTCTCTCATCTCATAATTAAGGGTAGAAATGGAAAGTAGGCATTTACTTTCGAAAGTGGAGGCCTATTTCGGGACAAACTAAAACATACATGTGGACTATTATTTTGGGATCCAGGAACTATTTTAATATTTCAGAGTCTATTTACGAAATAAATAAATAATTTAATACGATGCAAAAGAGAGACGCACCTTCCATACTCATCAACCAGCATACCCTCGACTTCCCTAACCGGATCATCAAACGCCCTTTCGTTCCTAAAGGGCCGGCGTGAATTACTAATCCTAGAAGACATGTTGTTGAGGGAATCAAGCTCACGAATATGGTGACGGATCATTGGTTCTGGAAGGATCTTCCTTTCTTGCCACAGTTTCAGTACCTATCGAACAATACAAACATAAAATAAAATTATACGCTTTTTCACCGATCTTCAGTACGATGTTTAACATATTCTGTATTTTAATTCTTGTAAACACAGTTTGGTCAAAGTGCAACAAATTGCCGTCATATATGGGAATAGGGAAATGTTCATTTGAGAACCAACTATTCATGAATTATTCATAGTGAATATCGTGAATTACTCATTAATTATTCATCATGAATATCGTAAATTACTCATTATGAATTATTGTGATATTGATGAATATCATGAACAATGAAAAATCAAGATATTCATGGCAGGTATATTCATCATGAGTAGTTCATGAATAGTTGGTTCTCAAATGAATCTGCCCCAATTCGCAGTTCCTAAATGAAATTTATGGTTCCTAAATGAATATTTAGGCATATTCATCATGAATATTTAGGCAAATTCATCATGAATATTTATGGTTCCTAAATGAAAGTTCCCCTATGAAAAAACAGAGCAAAATGTCTAGGAATGACACATGCCTTTAAGCACTGCCTACGATTTTCAAGTGCACTACTCCCCGGAGGAGCAGCCGCCAACAATAACCGTGGTAGCACCGCTTGGATCGCTGACGGATACAAGCCACCCACATCACCTGAAAACACAATTGATTACATTACAAGAATGCATTGCTAGCAAACACGTGAAAGAACCGTGTACACGCTGCTGCAACGAAAATAAATGTGAAAACAACAAATGTAAATTACCTCTCAGCCCTCGAGAACATTGTGCAATAGAATCCACAAGAAAGAATAAGTCCACCCGTTTATGTAAGCTAGGTTCAGCTTCCAAACTGCGGGCAATAGCCTCCACCACCTGCATTCAAAACAATTGTGTGTATAAATTACCACCGATACATACACACCTCTTGTCAAAACAAAAAAAAATTCGGAGGTCAAAAAATTGGAAAAAAGACGGTGGCAACACAAGTAAGATGGCCATTAAAGCAGGAACGAATGATTTCTATATCAGATGTGATAATAACATTCTTATACTTCACAAAACCTACAGGGCCAAATGAAAATATACCCCACTCGAAAGTCGGGTACAGAAGCAACCTGAACCAGAAGGAATCCAGATCCATAACTCAAAATTCAAGGCTTGGTTTCCATATCCGAAATCCGATCAGATTTTTTGTTTGCCCACCCGAACCCACCAGATGCACACCCATAGTAAGTGAGGGTATGCTTGTTAGCAGCTTAATGATCTTAATGGGACTCGCAGCTTATTCGGCCAGCTATACATGACTGTTTGATAGTGGCTTAATGATATAGAAAGTATCCTATTCAGTAAGCTTCTAGGGGAGCATTATGCAAAAACCCAAGTTTTTTCCAAACCTGTCCCTCCAATTAAAAAGCATGCTCGTTCCATCTATGAAAACACCCTCCCAAACAAAAACCTTCCCAGTCTATACAGACAGAGTAGCACACACAGACAGTTTTATCCATACAAAACTTAATGGAAAACCAACCACCCTGAGATGCCCATTAGAGGTAGAAATGATTATTTCTCAACTATATCAAAAGTGATAATAACATTGATATACCTCCTTCATGGGTAAAATAGTGTCCAAATTGATAAATACCTGGACTTTCAAGCAATCTAAGACTAAGGATGGCTTTAATTTTAATAACCACTTCACACTTCCGTCAGAAGTAATAAAAACCAGATATGGGGTGCAAAAAAGAGTAACCATGTGAATATAACAGTTTGTATGAACGCAAGACAGAAATAACTTTTGACATCAAAATTAGAATTGCATAAGATCATCAAAGGACAACAAGATTGATCCATGTCATTAAACAGTGAGAGAAACTCTACAAGCTACCACATGGAAAGAGATCCAAATAGCTTAGTAAAGGATGTGACTTGTGAGTGATGTGAATCTTGACCAAAGAAAACTCTCGTTCTGGTTTGCAATTAGGCCAAAAACTCTGGGGAAGTGAGCAATGTGAATCTTTGACCAAGAAAACTCTCATTCTGGTTTGCAATTGGGCCAAAAACTATCAGGGAAATTTAATAACATCTTCATTCTGCAGATTAGGTAAGAGAGATGCATAGCATTCCCAAGACCCACTAAAAAGAGAGAACCTTTCAGTCATGTCAACTTTCTAAACTAATGCATACAGTCAAATGTACAATGTTAGAACAAAGTCGCTGAGACCAAACGGGACCAAACAACCACGTATATACAACCCGAAGTGGTGCCTGAGGGTCAAATGTACGCAGATCTGACCTCTATCCTAAATAATAGAGCAGCCGTTTAAGTGAAGACTTGGCTTGTAAAAAGTGTGCAAAATGAAGGGTTATTGAAACCACAAAATAATACTGCAAGAGAAAAGAGACAGTGAAGACGTAATATTTACCTTGACAGCAATGCCAAATTTTGCACAGTCAATTGCGATTCGCGTGGCTCGGTCGATGCTTTTTTTAGTCCGTGTTAATGCCGCAAGACTGGCCTCAAAAGACGTAAGAGCAGCATTTGCTTCTGATATCGTGCTCCATTTATTGCTGGCGTGCTTTGGTTTCTCATGGTACAAATGCACAGCAGGACTACAACAGCCACTGTTTTCAAGGAAATTACTATTATCTGAAGTAGATATGTTGCAAATGGAAGTATTGGGTGGAGAGGCTCGTGCAGTTGAGTCAAACGCATCATTCGGAGGAGAAGATGTCCGGGTACCTGACTCAATTTTATGGCTCAAGCCATCTTCAAAAATAGAAGTCGAATTTGAAAGTTCAGGACCCGGGGCAACAGTCTTCAACTCCTTCACTGTGGTTAGAGATGGAGGATCATCATCTACTTCCATATTCGATCTTTTAGTTGCTTCGGTATCTTCCAGTCTAAGACAAAGATTGTTCCAACTATGAGGGTGATAGAAGACTAATGCCGAAAAAACAAAAAAAAAAATCCAACCTAACAAACCCAGTAAATTTCTGTTAGTTATGTTATTTCTATATTTATATCATTTTACTAGAGGTTTCTAATCTACCTAATGTGTGTTCCTGTTGAAGCATATACGCGGGGGGTGGGCGCAGGGCAGATGATTTTAAAGCAGACAATTTCTTATAAAAGGCATTCAGTCCGGGCATGTTTGTTAGCAGCTTAATGAGCTTAATGGGACTCACAGCTTACTGGTCAGTTATATATGACTGTTTGGTAATGGCTTAATGATATAGAAAGTAACTTATTCGGTAAGCTTCTAGGGGAGCTTTATGCAGAAAGCCAAAAAGAATCCGGACCTGCCCCTCCCAATTAAAAAACACACTCCTTCCATCTATGAGAAAACCCTCCCAAACAAAAACATTCCTAATCTTACAGACTGATTATTCCACACAGACAACTTTATCCATACAGGACTTAATGGATAACCAACCAAACAGCCCCTAAGTCCCACCCCAAGGTGAGATCTGGATGATGGGATGTAGGCAGAGCTGACTTCTACCCAGAAGAGTAGAGCGGCTGTTTACGTAAAGACCCCCTGGCTTGTGCAAAGTGTGCGAAAAGAAAGGGCTATAAGTAGCAACTAACAAAACAGATAATAACCAACAACCGAAATATACAGACAGAGGCAGGTACAAGAAAACATAACCAAAGCAATGTGTAATTATAAGCTCACACACACACCCTTCACTTTTAGTGAGTTTGAACCTTGACCTCCAAGGAGAATGGGATCTACAGGTAACCCAGATACCAAAGGGCAATGACCCTTTGGTTGCCCGTAGAGCTGTTCACGGACAGATGACCTGTTAGACCAGCCCTGTCCAGCCCGCTAGAAAAGCGGGTTTAATACTATTCTCGAAGAAATGGGCGGGCCCGGACGGACTTGTTAAAATTAATGGGTGGGCAAGGGCAATGCAAAAAAAATGCACAGGCCCGTCTGGCCCATTAATATTTTTATAATAATTAACTTTCATAATTAGAAGTTACAAACAAAATTAAAAATTCTTGATAATAACACTCTGAAAATCTAAAAAGTAAAAACATAATTACCTTAATTGTTCAATTCCTTATTATATCACTCCATATTTTGCGAGACAATTTGTTTTCTAAATCGTGTACATTGTCATGTATTTACATCTAACTATAAGTTGGGAAAATTGTTTATCTATTTTGAATTATTTTGCACAACTTGTGATCAAATATTAATTTCGTTTTCTTAAAAATGACAAAAAATATTTAGGCACGTTAGCCTGTGGGAAAGCCCGGCCCATTTATAGGGCAGGTATGGGCAAGTTTTCAAGCCTGTAAAAAAGGGCTTGGGTTCGCTATATAGGCCCGTTGGACAAGAAAAATAGGTTAGTAACTAGGCACTATCTTAATGAACATACACAGACTGCATCATATAATATATTAATATGCATATTAACTTACATTGCATTGCCATTGCTGTCATCTTCAAATGGATTATCTGCCATATTGCAGCTTTTCTGGGGAGAAGATTGCATCAACAAATTGGCATCATCGTGTGAAATAACTCCATTCTCCACGTTGCTCGATATAGGATCTGAACTCACCCCAGAAACATCTGAAGGATCCTTTTTGCTGAGCTCAATCAACTCCGAAGTTTCAAATTCAGATTCATTTGCAACAGCAGTAGTATTATTGCATTCAGGAAGAGACTCTTTCTTCTCGATAGCATCCGATGAAGGTTTCGGGCTTTGCAGGACTTCAACCGTTTTCACACAAGAAGACAGTATGACGGCATCCTTACTATCGGAAATTTCCACGGGCTTTACGTTGTCATCTTTTAAAATCCCGTCTTCTGGACTATTACTAGTTCTTGAAGGTTGATTGCAGCCATTGATCTTGTCAGTTGTCTCATTACGATCAAGTGGTGGAGCTAAATCGCCATTACCGAGAACGATCACCTTTTGTACTTCGGGCTGGTCTGTTTCTTTAATCTCGATGGCCAAATTAAAGCAGTCAATCGAAGAAGAAAGAGATCCATTTATGATAGTTTTCATGGCAGATGGTCCTTCAGGAGAAACTTGTTTTTCTTCTGCAACATTTGCAGACATGGCTTCAAGAGCACGATGGAGTCGTTTAGATGGCGGTAAAGCAGCTTCACCATCAGCTAAACAGCCAAAATGCTTATTATGCTTGTTAGCTTCCCATAATGGTGGCTTATTAACACTACATTTGCTTAACATAAATAAAGCGTCTGATTCTTCCCTACCTGCTGACGAGTTTCCCTCTGCCGACATATCTTCTCCATCACTCAAGACTGCACAGTCCTGCTTCGGTCTAATTACGGGTTCTTCCATAGATGATGACGTACGACCCATCCGAACCCTGGCCCGTTTTACTAGTGGAAGGTGTTCATCACCGTCTTCCTTGGTATACTTCCCGCTAGATTTTTCAAGATCAGCATGCTGAATAGGTTCGCTTTTATCCATCTCGACACCACAAGATTGCTTGTTGATTCTATCCGGGAACTCCGTGGTAACGGTTATAGCACGTTTTCTACTGGGCTTTCTTTTCTTCTTAACAATAACGGCTTTATTTTGAAATTCAAGTGTCTGACTCAGCTGCATGTCTCCCCCAGAACATTCCGTTACATAATCATGTTCCATAAGCTTATAACCAGATTGTACACAGTTTCCCTCATTAAAACTCTTGGTATCGGAATCAACAGTCACAATTTCAGAACCATTTTCTTCAGGACTTGCATTTGAAGCAAGAGGTAAATCCTTATCTGGTCCATCAGATGAACCCGGTGATGTCCTGACCCTTTTCGTCCTTCTTTGGGCCCCGTCCCTTGATACGTTAGATAAATTACCATTATTCATTTCAATGCCTTCCGGAACGTTCTGAAATCTGCAAGACTCTGCTCTAACCGAACTTCTTGATCTACGAGCAGATGGTATCCTTCCATGCATCGTTGACGCACGAGTACTTGAGTATTTCTTTCTCGAGTATGTGGTAGGCAACGGTGCCTTCGTGACCGCCAAATGACCGGTGGGATCTATCGACATTTTATCCCCCTTGTGAAGAACGTCTTCTGTAGTCATGGCATCACCATCGCAAGGACCATCATTACGTTTTGGAGAATCCGACATTTTCGAGCACGAGTCAACTGTCGGTGTGAGAGCCTCGTCTTTCGAACCAGAACTTGCAATACATTCCTCGGATTTGACTCCATTTGTCGAAGTGGCTTGACCGATGGTATTAACACCATTGACTTGCCGCTCCTGTTTTTTTAGCTCCTCGTAGCTATCAATTATCTCCCTTACAGCACGAACAAAATCAGCACCTTTACCATGACGTTTGCTCAGTAGAGATTCTTTCTTCTCTTCGGTAAAAGCTTCAACATCAGACGGATTGCAGAACGCTCTGCATAGAGAGGCATATACTTAGTCCATCCAAAAAACCAACTGATCCTGAAAACTAAAGCAAGACGAACACAAAGAAAAGCAAGATGATATTGACATAAACATTAATGTAGAGCATTAGAGTTGTGAACGGAATGGATGGCCCCGCTAGACCTGGCCCATCCAGCCCACAACAGAAAATATAATGAATTTGCCAGGGTAAAAGTGTTCCAAAGAGAAATGAATAGCACTGTAACGCTATTCCAAGTATGTACGGAGAATTCCATGATCTTTAGTTCTTTACTTTTACATCTTCACTAACTTATGCTATTTCACATATAAATGCAGAAGCAGGAATCACTTGCATCATTTGTTTTGTTAGATTTGTTTATAGTCATTCTTTGGTTCAGTTTTGCACACGTGATAAAGCTCTGTCCTGGTTACTTCACAGACAAAAAACATTGTAGGCATAAGAAAGAGGTGTCTGTAAGGCCTCCAAATGGAATGCATTATGGAATGGGTGCATCCAACATATTTCTAATTGTATGATGACTTACATAAATACACTTGGCAAACTCCAAATAATTGTGTGCTTGTTTCATATCGACATAAATTCACTTGGCAAATATCCAAATAATTGTGTTCCTGTTTTGAAACTTCACCTGTATGCTTGTTTTGATATTGGCATGGATAAAAATTAACAAGCCCCCAAACATTTTGAACAGGGCAAGTTCCGCCATTTTTTAAAACCACATATTGATGTTTAGATACTAGGATTCCTTTGAACGCTAAAAGAATACAGTTATGGATGGTGGATGCATGTTGTACATATTACAACAATATAAACAGAGGCAAGTACAGGAACAATATATTGCCGAAGAAGTAGAAACTACACACCCCTAGCAATCTAAGGGATTTTTTTAATTAGCAACTTAATGAACTTAATGGAAAACACAGCTTATTCAGTCAGTTATACATGACTCTTTAGTAGTGGCTTAATAATATAGAAAGTGGCTTATTCAATAAGGTTCTGGGGGAGCTTTATGCGGAACCAAGTTTTTTCCGAACCTGCCCCTCCTAATTAACAAACACGCTCATTCCATCTTTTTACTAAAAAAACCTTCCCAAACAAAAACATTTCCAGTCTATACAGACAGCTTTATCCATACAGGACAATGAAAAACGAACCAACGAAACAACCTCTAGGGTTCTAGACTTCTACTTGAAAGACTTTTGAGTACGGTAATTGAATGATCATAAAGATGAAGAACATCAAGGCTCCTATACAAGATATCGTTGAGGGTTGACGATGAAGATTCAAAGTGAGTTTTAAGAATCAATTATTTCAATTGAACCACATGAAGTATACATAAAAAGAAAAGAAACTTCAGGTAGCCAAGATGTAAAAATTGAAGTACCATGGAATTGGACTCCATCGATATCTAAAAAGATTCCTTAGTTTAGAAAAAGACAACTATAGCAACATAAAGATCATGTGATGGCATACATGACTACATGAGAAATATAAATACACAAGAACCCATACACATCCAAGCCTTCAACTTGATCCTTCTAAATTCTCATACACATCCAAGTCTTCAACTTCAGAATAAAAATATTCATACGTGATCATTTAAAATTTATAGTGAACTCCGTATATCTCATGTGAAGGTCACACAATGCAACTGTATAAGGTTTCAGAATAAAAATATTCCTACATGATCGTTCAAAATTTATAGTGAATTCCGTAAGGTCACACAATGCAATGGTTTAAGATATTGATGACCCAACCTCAAGAATCCATATAGCATGCCTTTGTCCGATAGATGGGCAAAAAGGATGTGCCATTCTCTACCAGCAACTCAAAGGCTTTCTAAATACAGTTGAATATTGAAGTTAAAATAAAAGAGGGAGATCAATGTGTGTGTGCATTTAGAGGAGGGAGAAGGGAAAGAGATGCAGCCAAGAGAAAGCAAACTTTTCGATCCACAACAAAGGGCAAAACCAAACTCAATTTAATAGTTACACAAAATTTGGTGAAACCAGATCTTCCAGCTCCACAATAGCAGATTAGCAATCAAGCAAGACTCACTAGAACACACTCAAATCTCAATATAGTGCAAGTATCTCAATGGCACACTAGTAGTGAAGATAAAAATATCCCAGTTAGAAAAAATAATCATTGGTAGTTGTGAATCATAAAAAGGTATATATAATAAGCTACAAATCAAAATCTATCCAACCAGTTATCGAATTTAAACATCAATATTAGGTGGTACAGCAACAAGATCTCCGATTTAGTCACCCACTTCTTATAAAACAGCATGCTTGTGTAGAACGAAGTCAAATAACAAATCTTATTGCAGCTAAAACCGTCTGCTGGACTTGTAGCAGCCAAGACTGTCTGTTAGACTTGTAGCATCATAAAAATCTCATATTGACCACTAAATTATAAAATGACACAGAAGTCAACAATGAGCTGACTGATCCACTCAAGTTCTAAATGAACTGCATAGACTTGCCTAAAAAAACTTGGATGGGATTTATACACTGTTTTAAAAAACGCCGGAGGCGTGCCTCAGGGCAGTGCTGTCCAAAATCCGTTCAGGAACGTGCGCCTCTACTATCCAGGCTTGAACGTACGCCTTAAACTGTGAGGAGGGCTGTGAGGCGGTGGGCTGATGGGCCGGTCCATTGGCAGACGCCTTTATCATACAGTTGCATCCAGTTCTTCTCTCTCTCAATAACCGATCGTTTCCCTCTCTCTCTCAACCGCCATCGCTCTTCTCTCTCTATCTCTTTCTCACACGATATCAGTTCTTCTCCAGTTCTGTCTCCGTCACTCATTCTCTCCATCGTCTTCCCTCCTCACGATTCTCACATAGCAAC